AGTTTCCTTTTACAGCAAAATTTTCAGTTCATTATTGCAACAGATTGCTATTCAACGTATAGAACATTACCGATCGTTTAGTTGTATAAATAAATCTTTCAAGTTTAACATCGGATTATATTGCCGTTAGGTATTGCATTAAACTGTTGACTCGAAGGACCAAGCCTAACGCGTCTTTGCGCGGTTTCTGACCTAACGTTATTAATATGTTCCTAAATTTAGTGGGCCAACACGTCATCGTCTACAGTTGTCTGATTGTTTATATTGCTATCTATATTATAGCGCTATTTATAATTCTCTTTACACATACAGGACAGCATTTACGTGATTTTGCACTTTATCGCCGAACATGGATTGGCGGTGATTTGTGTCTCACGCTATAGACTCCCTTATTTCGCCACCTCAATACGTTCGTCTGTCTTCGTTCATCGCCCAGATTCGGTTCTCTATCTGGCTTTAGATCGAGCCATATCAGCATTATGGTATCGAATATTATCGTTTTCAGTATTATTAACGTAGTAGTACTACTGTTATCGTTTACGAAATACCTACGAAGTCACCTCCCGGTATTGCTATACATGTAAAATTGGGCCTGGTCGTTCGTTCGAGTGGATCGGAGCGGTTTTCTCAATGGGCTCCTTTACAGTCATTGGCTGCATCGCGCATTTAATCCTCTCGGAAGCCCCATACGCACGCCATCTCTGATACCGGAGGGAGGCGCTTACCGGATGGGAGGCCTTCGAGAATCGAGCGCCGGATAGCAGCAGGTGAACCGAACTCGTCCCGGTAAGTGCCGCACAACAACGTTCGCACATGCGATCAACGTACGAGACAGCAGCCTCTTTCAGCGTTCACAATCAGCTAACTGGCTGTCCGTCCAGGGACAATCAGACAAACGCACCGACACAATAGCGGCCAACATCACCATCTCCGTTGGCAATGGCCAGTTACACATTGCTGCTTTTGTTATTCGAGCAGTTAGTTTTTACTCACGGCGTCCAGCCGACCTGTTGATATTCGACCGGCAGACAGGACAATCCTTTGGCAGGTAAACCTTGGAACACGTAAATAGAAGAAATTGAAGTGGTCTCCTTTTCTACTTTGCGGAATGCATTTTTCTTCAGGGACAAAGAAGATGCGATCATCATTTGAGACGGCAAGCTCAGATGGCACCGGAGCAACTAATTTTCTATCCCAGCTAGTTTACTCTACTTTTCATCACCCTCTACATTATACTGCCTAGTTACGATTAAACTACGACTATAATTTAAAAATTTGGTCTTCGCTTAAAACAACCTTCTAAGTGCTACTTGCAACAAACACTCAGTGACATCCAAGAGATCAATATGATAACATTGTGAGGTATTATTAGGCGCAATTTCGATAGCTTAGCCAATTATGTGCGACGCTTAGAGATAAAGGGGGGACATTGGCAACACCTTGCCGCGAACTGTCAGCGTATGGATTCAAGCAAATATTGATTGTTGATAGATATCTTTTGCAAAGTGCCGTTACGCAGACCACGGGAACAACAAAAAGGGGCGACAGAGGCAGTCATGTATATATATATATATATATATGTATTTATTTTGTCGTTGTTGTTTTGGCTCCTCTATGGTTATCGCGTCTGTAGTCGCGATGACTGTAACTAACGTAGCACTATTTGACGTGGACTTCGACTGCGGCTGTTTGTGTTCATCGCTGCTGCTGCTGCTATTGCCACTGTCGCGAACTTTTTTTCATAGCGAAGTCGGAATGTTTGACGAGATGGCGCTCTTGAAACGGGGCCGAAGAGAGACTCGCGAAGACGTCGATGGTGACGGCAACAACGAATGATGTTGATGCGATGTCCAAGTATTTCCGGGCTTTGAGAGGCAATTCGGCCGCCGGCCAACTGTCCATTCGGTTGGCCCAGCAACAGCAGTAAAAGGAACGCATCAGCAAGAGCAGCAGAAGCAATAGCGACGTAACAGCAGCGCATTAGTTCATAGCGACGATTGCGGCAGCGCGCGAAAAGGCCCGCACGAGGGCTCGTAAGGTACAAGCAACGCCAAGAAGTAGCGAGACGGCAACAACGGCGATAGCCACCCTGCGACCGGCGGCCCCAGCGCTCGCAAAGCTGCAATCGAGCGAACAAGCGATAGCGGACAAGAGCCCGGTGGGCCCGTGCCCGAGCCCATGCCAGGTTCGGGCCCCAAGCACAACAAACTACTGCGCGCATGCACACACACATACACACGCACGTCGAAATACACAAGCAAACAGCATAGAACCCAGGGAAGTAGCCCACGTCCAGCGATTCGTTGCTTCACTTACTAGCATCACTACTACAACATTACTTCTACTACTATAACATATGCTGAACGAAGAAGAGGGCTGATGGCTCGTTTATGTGTGTGTATGTTTTTTGTGAGTGTGTGTATTTATGTGCCGGTATGATGTTGTTGGTGTTCTCAGAGTGAGTCGGTGAGTGTGCGTAGCCCCGTTGCCGCCGCTGACGACTGCACCGCAATCAACATCAGTACCAGCGACGTCAACAACAGTAAAGCGAACCGCGATGCAGGCCCTCTTGCGTAGCTCGAACTACGCTGATCTGTGCTGTTCAACGCAGTTCCCTCGGGTGGCCGTTCCATCCCTCTGATCGACGGACGCACAGACCGACCGGCTTTGCCGGACGCTCGGCGTTCTGTAAGCAGGCGCGTTTGACTTATGCTGCGACTGTGCTACGGTGCCAGCCTGTTGTTGTACCAGTTTCGCAACAAGAGCCGCAGATGCAGCGGTGGCAGGCAGTCGAGGCAGCCACCGAGAGCCGTCACCAGCGCAGCAGTGGCCATAGCCGCCGCTGCCGTTGCTGCCGCCGTCAGCGTGAGGCCGGGAGAGGGCTGAGTCAGTGGCTGTCGGAGCTAAGTGGTGCCGCAGAGCCGTTCGAGCCGCGGCAACCGCTACGTCGAGATGCCAGCGACGTCATCCCGCGCCAGCCAGCCAGCCAGCCAGCCAGCCCCGAGAACCAACGAAACGCTTGTTCGCTCCGCCACCAATGATGGTCGTGGCCACCGTAGCGGCTCACTTGGTCGCAGTCTACCTATCTCTATGACGGCAGCAGGTTCCTCCTTGGTCCTTCGTTTGCTCGCCAACGTGCGAAAAGTAGCTCAGCGACGCGGTACGACACACGACATAACGCAATACCGGTTCTCGAACGGGAGTTGGCTGTGTATTCCTGTGCTCCGCTGCTACGTTCTCTCAATGGCCAACTGACTGGCTATGCGACAAAAGAACTTCATTGCTCTTCGCTCGACCTAACCTAAGGAAGTGCGACGGTACAGGATCAGCTTTTCTTCTTGCCTTCCAACTCTGTGTGACCGGCACTCTTCATTCTTGTCATGAGTGATAGTACAACAAATGTTCGATCACCACAGTTACCCAGAAACTCTCTCGATCTTTAACCTAATTGGATACCGAACGAGCGGATATACAAAATAATTAAGTTTGGCGGATACAGCATAAGAGTAAGTTAGCTGCACTGAATTCCGTTGAATAAGGATCACGTACTTGCTAGAAATGATAATCAAGATGTTAGTATGCATAAGATTTCAATGTGAGAGCTATCTCATTTAAACTGACTAGTGATCAAGTGGCGCAAGGCCCAATAGACAACGTTATAATAATTGATGAACGAGCTAGGAAGTCCTAGTCGATAATATTGTTATTTTTATACTAAGCGTTCCCAAGGCTCCGTTCGTTTAGACACTTCATGTATCTATGTAGTGAAATGTAGAAGCAAAAGGACAGCTATTGATATGTGTTCCTAAGGTATCTGTGCCAGTCGACTCGAATATGACACTTCTGTAGGAATGGTACTACCATTTCGTATACAAATTCGCTATGGAATATCATGCGTAATTAATTCATAAGCGAATACTTCAACCTGTGACGAATGTAGCTACTTAATTTAATGACATACGACGATGCACTAGCTTTCGAAGTTTATGCTGAAACTCCCAGAGCATGATAGTGCCCTACTTATAGATGAACCTAAGGACAACTTCGTGGTCAACCACGCTGAGCACTCGACTCATCAATGAGCTCAGAGTCTACTAATTTTCGTGGTTTTACCGTGTTTTTAATTTGCTTCCATAAAACGACTTCATGATAAAAAGCTGGATAGCTACTTTAAGTATGTCTTTAAAATTCCTCCTGGTTAACAGAAGAGCTCAGCCGTTCGTAGCCCAGCTACCTGCCACAGACACCCGTTCAGTCCATCCCCATTTATTTACATCAACATACAACTGCTGCAATTGTCTCTGTGGGCCATCTATTAATCTATTGGCCCGAATGTATGTGTGTAGTGTGTGCGTGTGTGTGTGTGTGTGTACACCCGTCCAACTGCCTCTCCACCAATCTGACGGCTGTTCGTTTTTTCGACTCCAACTTCGGCCGCTAGTCGTCGTCGTCGTCATCATCATCATCGTCCTCGTAGTCGTTGTCAAACAGCTGATCGGCACAACATACCCCCGTTGTCCAAAACGAGGTGTTCCATCGGATTAAATAACATTGCTACCGGCAGTGATATTGCTAGTAGTAATGCTAGTTTTGCAGTTGTTGTTGCTAGTAACAGATCGGACGTCACCGTTTGCGTCGGAAACTCGACTTTATCGGCGTTCGTTGACGCTCCTTCAACTCCCTCCATCACACGATAGTAGCTTCGTTCGCTCGTGGCCACCACTGAAGGCAGCGATGCAGCGGGGCCACGAGCGGGCCACCACCAATGGACAACAGCGCCAGCAGCAGAGGGGCGGCACGAATGCAAAATCGCCTGCTTCTTAGTTGCCGTTGCCATTTTCGTCGTGGTTGTTCTTGTTGTTGTTGTTGTCGTCGTTGTTTTTTGCCTTACGCTCCTTCTTTGTACCATCGTTCTCCCTGTTGACGTCCGTCCCCCCCCCCCCCCAAGTTGGCGTCGTCAGCGTCATCGGCGGCGGATAGTAGTTTTGGGGGGCTGATGAGGCAGGCGATGGTGACTTAAGAGACCTTTGTGCGAATCTTGTGCCGCAGCTGTTACAGCGGCGGCAAAGGGACCGAGGGGCAGATGCGCCGCACCGCACGGGGTCTTGGGGCTCGGGGCTCGTGAGTCGCGACTCGGGGCGTTAGATGACGGACCAACCAGACGATGGTGTTGCAAACCTTGTTCTTGTGGAATGGTCGCTGTTACTGCCTTTTCCGCCGTCAGAGCGCTGATCATAAAGCCAACGTTATTGCTAACAACGCTCTATGTAAGCTGTCTTGCCTCGTCGTCAGCAGTCTGTTTGCTGCTGCCGCTGCTGGAGACCTTCTAGCCATAGGGTTCAAGCCCTGTCGCGAAAAGAGAAACTTACAGACATCACATATACACAGACACATTCACTCACACGGCCAGTCCAACAAGGTCTGTGTATGTCCATTTGTGCGCCGTTGGCCGTATTGGGTAACTGCGAGCGATGTAAGCTCTCCGACGAAATTGCTGTTGCTCTTACCGCTTCGTGTGAACGGATTTTGGGACCTACGAAGTGCGACGATGACCGACGTCAAAGACGACGACGACGACGATGACGCTGAACCGGAGGACAGAGGCAAAGACTACTACATCACCATCACAAGAAGATTATTACTGCCACTATTGCCCCTATTACCCTACAGCAATCCAACTACCGAGACACGGGGGGCAAGCAACTCGGGAAGGGTCTGATTTTAGTCAACCCCGAAATGCCCAACGACGAAGCTGCTGTACTTCGTTACATCAGAAGCTTTCGACCTAGGGAAGGTCCCCTTGGGAACAAAACAGCAATCTGAATAAACCATTTTAATCTAGCGTTTTTTGGCTGATGACGTTGCATTAAGTGAAAAGCGATCTCGGTCACTTTTTCAAGATACGCTAATTTCTCTTGTCTGTGTTCGGTACACTTATCTCCTGATCATGAATAGTTAACTTTGAGCAATAAAATGGAAACGTAGAAACATAAAGTGGGGAAGGCAGGCTGAGGGGGTTAAGAGTCGCGGGGATGAATGAGGAAAATGAAGCGGCGTGTATCACTTTGGCGAGTTATCGGGCGCTTTTCAATACTGAATTATGGCGCAGTTGGATGTAACGCAACGCGATCTGCCAGTATGAAAGTAACTTCGACGTACCCGTTACCATCATACACTGTTGCACATCGCCACTCCCAGGAGTTGTTTTGGATCCCCAGGCGATTGAGAAGAAGACGAAGAAAAAGGGGTGCTCTACTTATTGAGCCGCTTATCCGATATATCGCAATATATCTCAATTGCCACTGCGATTTTTGCCGTTCTGTCAGCGGCCGGCCGGCCAGCCGGTATATTTCTACTACTACAATCATCATCACCACCATCACCACCAAAAATCTGATGGTGATCGCTGTTATATGCAACGCTTGTTATTTGCCTCGAGACTCTCGGAGCGAGCACAAACTTCCGTCTATCCTGTATATTATCCGCATCTATGGTTGTGTCGATTTTTTCGTGCTGACACTGTGCGTGTATGTTTGTGTGTGAGTCAATTTCAGAGAGTTCTTTCCAAGCGGACGTTATGTCGGCTTTACGGGACAGAATCGACGTTGTCGGTTGCAGACCATCTTAGACAACGTATAGCTAGATATACTACTGTATAGAAACGAGTCGGCTGATTTGTTTTCATACAGTAGAACAACAACAAGTCAGGCGGCAGCAGCAGTTAGAGATGCGTGTGGTTCGACACTTCAGCTAGCGTTGTTTTCAACGCTCAGATACGCGACAGGAACGTTAAATACAGATCAACGCTACAAGTACGTGCTGCTACTGGGTATTGCGACTTTAAACCGAGAGAGGATGACTGGACAGAACAGAGAGCGTGGTGTTGCTGCTGTTGTTGTTAATGATGATGATGGCGCGGTCGTTCCTGGAGGAAGTTTTATTCTAATTCCGGACGAGGCGCAGGCTGGTTTTGTTTACTTCGGTAGCTACCACCATCGGCATCCGCTGGATTTAGGTGTAACAGCCGCCGTATGAGTAGACGATGATAAATCAGGGGGAACGAATTCATCGTATTCAACTCATCATCTGGCTCATAAATTGTGCTTTCGTGACGTTTTTGTTTTGCTCACTGTTTTTTCTCTTTCGAGAAGAGATCGAGAGTTTTCCTCTGCCAGTGTCCTTCCCCGTGTTTTGTGCTCCTGTGGCCCACAAACACTACCGCTCTACCCCGATAACGTACTCTACCTATTGACGTATGTTGGTACCTGTTCTACTGCTGACGCACTGCTGGTACCAGTGTCTTTCTCGTGTTCTCCATCCCCGCCGCCGTCACTTCTGCTGCTGCTGCTGGGGCACCCACTTCGCCTCATCTTGTCTCCGCGATATGTTAATGTACAACAGCGAGGCCAAGAGGTCGGACCCGCTCGAAGCGTCCCGAAGTCGATCTCGGATCGGCGTTCTCTCCTAGAATCGGGTTGGTCGAGAGTGGGTGAGGAGGCGCTAGACGCCAGCCCGAATCACCCACCAGAACGCCAGGCCGACAGCACCGTCTCCGTCAGTCTGTACTGCGCCAGCCAGCGTTCTCGAACGGCAGCTACCCATTCAGCAAGCCAGAAAGCCCCGAGCGCTCGGATCGATCGAACCAGTCGGGGCAGCCGTGTCAAGCTTAGAGAAGCTGGCGGTGCTCTGTTGCAGTCCGAGTCGGTCGCGCACTGGTACAGCGAGGACGCACCCAGCTACCCCACCGTTTCATCCACTTGTGCAGCTGCCACTAGCACTGTTTCTACCGCTACTACTGCCAAAGCCATTGCTACAAGATGCGTCTGTGCACCACTGGTAAGCACCTCTAGCTCTACTACAAGCAGCACCAGTCGGTGAATGTTGACGATGCCAGTAAAAGTAACAGTCAAAATAGTCTCCCTTTTGCTGCTGCTGTTGTTGCACATCGTTTCCGTAGTCTCACTGATTTGGTCGCTCGTTCAGCTCGCCTCGGATCATTCGTTTGCTCGCTCCGTTGCCGTCTCTATTCCGTCATCTCCTGCTGCTGTTGCTGCTGCTGCCGCCATCGCCGCCGCCGCCGTCGTCTCCACCGGTGCTCTGGTGGGTCGGTCAGACTGACGGTTCTCGACGGCGCATGCGCGCCAACAGAGACACAGCGCCGCCGCTGCACGCCTGCCGCGACGGCAGTAGCAGTCGCCGCCGCCACCGCCGCTGCTTCTGCCGCGACTGCTTTTACTCCTCGTCGGCCGCGGCAGCACCCGACCGCGCTACTGGTCTGGTTCGGCTACGCACTGTTCGACTCGGCGAAGAGTGAATCGGTGTTGGTACCGGGAGAGACGATCCTCTTTGGGAGTCCACTTTGACGGACGCTCGGAGCCAAGAAACGTCGGAGTGTTCTAACACGACACTGCCTGCACGTTACTACTCCTTGTCTACCAGTTTGATGGTACTTGCCGTCGCCAACAGGCCAAGTTAGCAACGAGGCGACTGCAGTAGAAACGACCTGTCTATCCATTTCGTGTTAGCTTCGCTGTCGCTGTAGAGGAATGAGTGCGATGCTTAGCGCATAAAAGCTGATAGCAGAATTGTCTGGTAGTATGACCGTGAGTGCGTTCGATCCTATGCCTCAGTCCAGATCGGTTATGCGGATGTGTCTTGTACTCTGCGAAATATGACAGCAAATCTCTGTTTGTGCAGCAGCGATCTTTTAGCTGTGCCCTCTGTCCCTCCTAACACCGCCACGATCCTTGCTAACATAGCTTGTTACGTAAGGATCAGACATAAATGATAGTCAGACATAGCTAACCAGATGTTAAGAAGCATCTGTGAAGATCGACACAGCAGCATATACAATTGATTGCAAAATCTAAAACAACAACAGGTGGCGAGTAAACCGAATCTGCGCCAACTCACTAAATCAGCCATTTGGCGTTTTGCAACAGGCCGGAACCTATCCGCCCCCTGTGTACTTCAGCGACTACCGTCTCGTCTGTGAACTAAGTCAAAGACGGTGCCTACGTCGATCAGTGCTTGTGCATGTGTGAGTCTGTGCTTTTACCATCTGTGTGTTGCGATGAACTGTCGCCATCGTTGATCTGTGTACTGATGAATCTGCTCCCTAGATCGACTTCCTGTATCTCCCGGTCTTTCGTTGTTGGCGATTTCATCGTTGATGGTAGGACATCTCAGCGGACGTCATTGTCAATTCGGTGAGTACTACGTGAGACTGTATTTGTGTTCGTGCTCTTTGCACATTCCACGTTTCTAGCTACGCTGACACTTTACAGTGGCTCCTGTACTACTGCTGCTGCTAGGTCTTGCCGCTAACATTGCTATAGGATAACAAGAAGCAAATATTCAAGGGTCCCAACCGAGAGTTTCCTCCATTAATGGGCCGACCCACTTTCCTACAAGTTCTCGATGCCCTCCGATCCGAACAGATTTTCCCAGCACTAGGTTTCGATACAGGGCTACAAATGCGTAGCAAATGCTGGACTTATGGAAACGAAGACATATATATATATATACCCAACTGAGTGTTGGATGCATTATCACTTTTCTGCTCGAGCTAACTCCTTTTTACGTTTTATAGATTACTGCACGGTTTACGAAGAGCCTTTTTCTCTGCAGATGGAATACCTGCGAGCCTACTAGGTATTTGATATTCCATACGTATATGTACAGATCGGTGCTCCCTAAGTCTAGTGTTTAGCGTTTTAGTCAAACGCTGTATTCGTTTCTAGTCTATATACGTTTTAGCTTGAAATAGCAGCCTTCCTTCTTAGGGCAGTCAGACGTTCAGCGCATTGACATTAGATTAGTTAACTTGTAGCGGGGTTTGTTGTCATGTACTGCAGTTGGCTACAGCTGGTCGAAGCTGCTGCAGAGGTAGCGAAGCCAGCAAGGAAGGCCTCGCATGTCAGCGGCCAGCCTGGCTATATAACTTGCCTGGCTAACTGAAGTCTGTACGCAACAGTCCGTGTACTACTATGCTATAAGCACAGCTATTGCCGTTGTTGCTGATCATGATTATGACGATGATGTTGATGGCGATGCTTGTTTATGCTGCACTGCCTTAGCGCGACGAGGTCCGTCGTGCCATTTCGTCCTCGCGATGTTGCCTTGTCTTGTCGACTTGGATCGGACTGCACTGTATGCTCGTCGTTTCATTCGTTTCGCAGGCCGCTGCTGGCTTTTGTTCTCTTCGCGATCATGTGTTCTTGCTGGCATAACAACACCATCTGACAACAACAACAACAACAGCGGCAGCGGCGGCCGCTACAGCTACGGCAAGACCATGATTGCAGCCTTCGCTGTCTCCCTCGGAAAGCCAGCCAGTCGCCTTCGTCACACTATGCGTTGAAGTGTAGCTGCTGCAAGAACGACATCGTCCCAGCGCCAGCGGCGGCATCAGCTGAAGTAGCGGCGGTCAGAGAAACGAAAAGAGAAGCAGAGAAGTGGGCCCCGGTGGCCAAGCCGTGGCTGACCCCCTTTCGAGCTCCGGCTGCCATGACCCAAATTCTTGGCAACTTCTTTTTCATCATCGTCGTCGTCTTCTTCTTCGCCTCCTTCTTCTCTACATTACACACTACTGTGTTCGTTACTACACTGCTGATGCCAACTGATGACCGTAATGGCAGCAGCAGCAGCAGCAACATTAACTGCAGAATCGGCGTCGAAGAGCTGAGCAGGTCTGCGCCGGTGGGCACTGTAGCAGCTATTGCTCTACCGAAGTCGCTGAACAACGGAGTCTTCCTTCGACTGCGATAGCAGCTGACTCAGCCCAGCGCCACTCAGCACCACTCGACGCAATAGCAATCTTAGCTCGGGGTTCTGGCTTTACGTCCAGCAACGGAACGGCCGTGGCAAACCCCAGCTCGACCATGCATAAGATGAACACACTTGCACACTGCGCACAAGATTCAGACACAGTCAAATGCTCGCACACATTCACTGATAGACAACAACGGGCTCACACAGCAAACTATAGTGACTGCTGCAAGCCAGCAACTGCGTGATGATCTTGATGTGCCGCTGCTACTGCTACTGCTAGGTAAAAATACCTGGCAAGCACATATGCATGCACACATACACACACATAAACAGCTCGAACTAGCTCACTCGCTGGTTCGCTTTCTCGCAATTTACGCTCATGAGTAAGGAAGAAGCCAAGCTGCTGGTGGCTTGACCTGCCAGGGGGCCACCCGATGTCGACACAGTCCGTTAGGCCGTATGCGAAGCGGCTTGATGGTGCAGCTGCCGTCAACTGTAGCTGGCGTAGTTCGTGGCGGCATCGGCGGCGTCACCAGCACCAGCAATAACACAAGCCGCTGTGCCCCCCTTTTGAGCATATGAGTTCTGCGTGAGAAATTCTGCAATGATCGTTTCGTTTCGTTCGAAGCTGGCGATTGCGCGACGGCTCAATTCCACTCGATTCGACTTAGCTTAGCTTTTCCGAGCCACTCTCAACAAGCAGACATCTATACACACATTCGCAAGCTCACGGAGACGCCCAGCCCGAGTGTTAGTGTCACAACAATAACAATATGTTAGAAACTAACCATCATCTTCGTTGGCACGGATCGCCACCTTGCGGCGACGTGAATTGATGATGACAACGGTAGCGTCGCCTCCGCAGGCGTTTGCCTCATGTCTCGCTGCTGTTGGCCCTGCGATGTTTTCGGTGTTGCTTTGATTACTGCTGGTGTTGTCCGCCTTGTCCTGTCATTGCCCCACGGACAGACACGGGCTGACCGACAGGTACCGTTGTCCCGGCCTGGAAAAGAGCCATAGCTGCCTATCGTTGCATATATAATCTTCGTCTGTCTCGATGTAGTGTATAATATAGTATAGTATTAATAATGCATAAAAGCTTGTCGTGTGGTTTTTTTCGTGTTGCTGTTACGGCTTCTTCCGACGCTACATTGCATGTGTTGCCATCGTGGCACTCGGTTGAGTGTCACTGTTTGGTCACAGTACATGGCGACGTATGCGCGCTCCCGCAGGGCCTTTCGACCTACGGCACAGCAGCATAGTCGGAAGCGACCATTACACTAGAGCGATCGTCGCACGAGTATAGCGCACAGAGTGAGAGCGGCGAGTATAGGTAGGTCGGTAGAAGACGTAGTAATAGCCATGTTCGAAGCAGCAGAAGGCTAAAACTGCAGCGGCGGCGGCAGCGGCCGGTACAGCAACAGCATCGGCAGTTTCGGTGGTGGTGGCGTCGGGCGAGTCCAGCTGAGAGCGCTGGGAGAGTTAATGGGAAACCATCCGTGTTCCACCCGTCACCATCGTCGTCGACGTATCCATCGTTATTTCACCGAATCGTATGCCGTGCGCTAGACCTGAGTAACGTGGCCTACCAGCTACCTGCAGATCGCTGCTGCTGGGCTGCCTCGAAAGTTGGTAGGCTCCCTCCACTCGACAAAGGATAAAGACAGGGCGGGGGGAAACTCGATACTCAAACGTAAATACTCGACTGCGCTCTCACACGCTCACGGTTCTCTGTGGGCCGTGAGCAGAAGCTTCTGTAAGAGAGGCCGCTTCTGGAGATTCTTGGCTATGCACATTTCTCAAACTGTACTAGAAGAGCGTTACCGCCGCCGGCCGATAAATCGCGCTCGGATGGATACACTCGTCGTGGCCGTGGTCGTCATCATGCTTGTAATGCCAACAAAGACCTATCTATATCTCAGCAAAGAACAGCGTCATCCGAACGCCTCAAATGGAGCCAGCAGCCGTAGAGAATCTGTACGTACGTTCAACGGCGGTCTCAGTTCACGTCTGTTAGACGTTTGCTTGCTCGGCCGCTCAGCAGCATAGCCGTTTCCTCTACTGGAGTATCGCCGAGTAAGCGATTGCTGCTGCAGCCGTTAACTCTGTCCTTTCGACGTCAGCGTCATCGTCGACATCTCGTATCACCTAGGCTGTTCGGCGGTACGCCTACTTTCACCGAGAATAGAAGGATTTTATACGGAGGTGGTTGGCCTGTTAGAGGGAAGTAAAGAGTTTCCTCGGCAAGCTGCCACAATTCCTGGTGCAGCATCCATAACGGTGTGGGTAGAAGAGGAGCGCCCAACGAGAGCAAATCTGCTGCGATTTTCCGCCCTCCGAGATCACAAATGACTCGAAGGCGACAGAGGCATACACACTTAAATATACATATATCTATTAAAGATAATGACATCGTTTGTCTCTCGGCGTCTGCAGGCGCGTCCATCGATCGACTCCACACCCTGTCTATGTATTTGCGTTCACAATGGATATGCAGTGAGTATGCGGGACGTTGCATAAAAGCTGTTCGACTGTTAGGTAGAGAGCGTCTGTGTACTCAGCGCTGAACGCCGAGCTCTGTGTAATCGCCTGTCCGTTCTCACCTGGTAGTGACGGAGGCGACAACGGCAGCATCCCTGCGGCCAATGCCTCTCAAAGATTATCTTCTATGTTCTTGAGCCCTCTTGAGAGCGCCATAAAGTTTACAGCGGGAGCAGCGCCGACAAAGCGCCGACGAACCACTCGCCAGCTACTATCATTCCTCTTTTATTTACATTTGCATAGGTAGACTAGCGTAGATCTACTTGGCGACGGTCTCTATCTCTTAACAAACAAATCAACTAGATCAAAGATCTCCAATTTTGCTAGTCGCTAGTGTCGATGCTGCGTCTGATGTTTGCGCCCAACCATAGCGTGTTCTCCATTTTCTTCTAAAAGTAAAACAGCGATAAATTTGTCGCTGCTCCGGGGGCATTCCAGCTATCGATAACGTTCGTATGGCCTCGGTTAGCGAAGCTGCTGGTCGCTTGCCGTCGTTATTATGACGACGGCCAACCCGACGCTCAAGGGGGTGTCTCAAGAAACGACGCTTGGTTAGAGGAAAGATACGCCAAGAGGTATCACTTTGGTATGTGGACATTATACGCGCCGCGACCCAGCTTCCCAGCTCGCCGGCTTGCCTCGGAATTATGGATAAGAGAAAAAAGAAAAAAAGCACACGGAGCAATAAGCAGCCAGCGATGGCGTCTCCCTCCGTTTTCGTTCATCCGACTGCTCATTGCATTGTTGATCCGGGCAGCTACAGCGCTATTGGTAATTGTACTTGATTCAATTTCGTTCGCTGGCTGTCAGCCCACCAACAACATTCTGCAAGCGTCACAGACCAGCAACGACAACGTTGTCGATGGCGGCGGCATCAAGATTGAGACCTGAATCG